GGGAGCCAGGGCGGGAGGCCGGGCCCGGGCAGCGTGTGGGTGCTGGCGGCAGTGGCTTCAGGCGTGGGTTTCTGGAGCGGTTGCGGTGGGGGCGTTGAGGCAGTCGTTCAACAGCGTCGTTGGTTTGTTTTACAGACAAAAACCTCGAGAACGCAGAGGAAGCAGCAGAGCAGTTCAAGTTAATCCAGGCAGCATATGATGTCCTGAGTGACCCCCAGGAGAGAGCCTGGTGAGTGAGCAGCGTTTGTCCGGTAGCAGCCTGCGAAAAAGCTTTTTAAAATTCTGCCTCAGCCAGCATTTCGAATTTGCCTCTGGCTGGGCCTTGCCACCGGCCAGGGTGGTCCTTTGCGGCAGGGGGGGGCCCTGTGCTTCAGGCTTTGGGATTCGAATTTGCCTCTGGCTGGGCCTTGCCACCGGCCAGGGTGGTCCTTTGCGGCAGGTGGAGCCCCTGTCCTTCAGTCTGTGGAAGGGTTGAGAGCCATGCGACCTGCAGCCTCCTGGGGAGGTGGCAGTGAACGCTGAGGGGTCCTCTGGGGACACACCAGTGCTGGCTTCCTTCTCTTTCTCCCAGAGCCCGAGGCAGCTTGCACTTTAGGATAGTTATCCCTCTGGTCACAGCCCTCCCTCTGCCGTAGGGGGGATGAGGGAGCACCACGCTGAGTGTGTGCAGGTGTTTCATGTGGCACAGGTGGCTGCAGCTGGTCAGCCTCAGTGACACACGCAGCCTCGTGTCACTGTAACAGTTCTAATCTGAAACCTGCACACAGGCTTCTGAGAGACTGCTACTTCGGATGTTGCGTGTGTCTTGTTTTTCAAACGGGCTGCAGCCAAGAACACCTGTATGGAGTTTGTCCCCCTTGAAAGTACTACTGTTTTTCAATTTTTATATGCTAATTTATGATTTTGGGTTCTTTCTCTGTGCGTGTAAGTTTTGGATGATTTAAATAATGTCCTACCCGTTTCTGAAAGCTTGTTGAAGCATCTTGCTGAAATGTGTTTGCTACCTTCCTGTTAAGAAACTGCTGCTGTGGATATTGCAGATAAAGTAATAGTAAGTTAACTAAAGGTCAAGAGAGAATATTTAGTGAGCCTTTTTCCTCTCTGAAGTCTTTGGATATGAGACACAAATTCCAGACACTGAGCTAAGCTATACATTGAGGCAATACATGTACTGCGTTAGTGTACCAGCACTGGGGAATGTTCTGTGTTTCTGCATCCTTGATACTGTGAATTTTTGCTAGGTATGATAATCACAGGGAGGCTTTGCTGAAAGGAGGAGTTGATGGAGACTATCAAGATGATAGTTTAGACTTGCTGCACTACTTCACTGTTAGCTGTTACTCTGGATACGGAGATGATGAAAAGGTAATGCATTAATTCACCTTTAATTAATCAATTTAAATTTCATGAAAAGTGTCAGCATTTACTTTGTGTTGAAAAGCTATGCATGGAATTGTTGAGTGCAGGTAGTAAAAATGCTCGCACAAATCTTTCCAAGACAAAACTTACGCAGGATGTTTAGGCAAGCTTTAATTCCTGCTTATTATCTAACAATCACTTATGATTTCTATGATTTCCAACTATACCATACAACTACAGAGTGTGTGTATATTATTTATGTATGTTATATAGTGAAGTGTTCCAATGCTTTGCAATACCATCTGTTTATTCAGATCTTAGCAACCTAGAATGCTTCAGGCTAAAGAAAATCAATGTAATAACAGTGCCTGGGGGAAGTGTGCTTCCTATAATTGAATACCCTGTTAGATTTTAAGACACTTGCTATAACTTAAAAAGCTCCAGGTGATTAGATGAACGTCTGCCAGAGAAAATCCTTATCTGTCTTTGGGTTACTATAGTAGGAGTGTGTTAGTAACATCTTAATTTAAAAAGTAAATAGATAGCTAGGATACTTACAAATGAATTCTGTATTTGGAACTTGCTCAAAACTTGGTCCTGTGTAACCAGAAATGTTTTAGTATCCCCAGCATGCTGAAACTTTTGTTGGTTTAGAATTGGATACAAGAGCTTCATGTGTGAGAGACACAAGCTACATGAAGGAGGTGGAAATAAAACGAACGGGAAAGACTGAGAACTTTGTCAAACAGAAGAGTCTTGCTATATAGAGCAATAGTTTACAAGGCTTTTAGTCTGATTTTCAGTTGCTGTTACAGAATTGTAATATTTCTCTAAAATATGTTACTGAAGTTGAACATTTGTACGTCTATTATTGAGCCAAGCAATCAGAATTTCTTTTTTATTTTAATTTTAGGGATTCTTTACAGTCTACCGACAAGTTTTTGAAAAGATTGCAAAAGAAGAGATGGAGTATATGACCCAGGAAGATACGGAAGAATTCCCCACGTTTGGCTATTCCCAAAGCGACTATGATACGGTAGGAGCAAGTGTAAATCTGAACTGAAAGTAGCACTGTTAAGTCATTATTTTGTCCCACACTGAAATCAAAGGAAAGGCTCCTGCTGATCTCTGAGGTGAATACAAAACCACGTATCTTCTGTCTCTTCTACTACTGTGGACCATTACTATAAAGGAAGTGCCTGTGTTCTGATTCATAATATTTGGGAGAATTAAAATTGGTATTTCCTGCTGGACTATATTATTAGCTGGGCTTTTATTGTAAGTTGTCAGACACACACTTCATGGGGCTAACCATCAATTATGACAAGAACACTTACATGTAGTGTCTTGCCTCATTTAAGAAAATTGCATAGCACTTGCCATGTAACACAGCCTATAGGAAATGGGAGATGCGGTGGTTCACCTGCATTGTGAGCTCCCATTGTGATACTCTTGTCCTTCACAATTATTCTGTAGTAAGATTTAATTTCCAAAATACTGGATGCTTTTTTTTTTTGGGGAAGTAAGAAAATAGATGAGGGACACTTGAATTCTTGTTGTCTGGTTTGCCAACTATTTGTTGTTCTGTCAAACCTGTCTATTTTTTTTTAAGGTAACCAGTATTCCTGTGTTGAAATTAAATAATAACTTTCTCCAGTGAGTAATTGCACAGTATCAGTGTACTCAAATGCTGCTCCTAGTCTGCTACTTCTCCGCGTTGTATTCAGTGGAATCGTACTGTATGACTAATTAATTACAAAATTTGAATGGATATGCAACTTAAAAATTAGTAACTGCAAGGGTACAAAACTTGGCAGGAGTTGGAAACATAGTTATGAAACAAACTAAGAGTGTCAAAGTGAGTGTTTGAATGTCAGATAAAATTACAGTTTGGTTTAACAAATAGAAATTTTTTCCAGGGAGAGAATATTTAGTGTCTCTGAAACTGCTAAAATGGAGTTATTTTGAAATATCTGTTGGTAGCTGCTTGTTTTGAGGCCATGGAATAGATACGATTATAGACCCAAAATAGCTTTTATGCTCTCAATTAATAACTGCAAAAATGGCTGGAATTCTATCACCAGCATGCTTTGACATCTCCATTGTCACGCTGTTCTGGAAGCAGTATTATCGGGGGGTTTTTTGTTTGGTTGGTTTTTTCCCCTTAAGGGACCTATAGGAGTGTTTTATGGGAAATAGCCTCAGTTATATGGGAAAGCCATTATTCCTGTTATCTTATATCCAGACAAAGAGATTACACTCTGAGAAAATTCCAGCATCGCAGTGCCCACTTCTCTTCTTAGTGGGAGTATTGTGGGAAAAGAGTTCTAGGAGGCAGCTACAAAAATTCTACAGATATTTCAAAATCTGTGATGTGAATGCTCTCTGATTCAATCTTCTGAGTTAATTCACAAGAACCCTGAGAGGATCAATGCCGGGCAGCCAGAGAAGATACTCTTAAGTCCGTGACTTCACAAGACTTCATGGAGAGAGAAGACTTGTAGGTCAATTAGACGCAGACACAAAAGTGATAAGCTCCAAGTATAAGTAGTAGGTAAAACAAAATCCAGTTGAGAGTTCAGCAAGAGCTGCTGTATGGCCTTCTGGAGAATGTCAGAGATGTGCTTGTATTTCAGGTATCTGCTGAGGGGCAGGAAAGCCTTGGTTCATACAGCTGGTGAAGGGGAGGATGACCCCTGTCATCAGTTGATAGCCATGCATCCTTTTGCACAGAAGATATCCCATTCTGAAGCAGAAATCTGAGACAGGGAGTCTAGTCTCACTTAGGTTGTTGGATTAAATATGAATATTTATTGGTTATTATTGATCTGGGGTTTTGTGATAGCAGAGGAAAATTGTAGTGACTTAACCTGCCAGAGGCCACAGCCATGAAGCTTTGCATGTAGATAGGCCATTAGAAATTAGCCTTGAGGGGTTGATAGTTGCAGTCTATGTGAATGCCAATGACAGAGGAGGAGGAGATACTAGAAGAAGAGATAGTAAACTGTTAGGTTAAATACTTCTGTGAGGTATTCGAAAATATAAACGTAGTGCATGTAGGAGTAAGTAGTAAAAAGACAATTTAATGGGACAAGTAGTGTGAGGAAGGAATTTAGGCATATCTTATTCCTGAATATACAAAATGCAGAATGTTAATAATTACTTGGTGAGGAATATAAAATAATAATAATAATAATAAAAAAATATTGTGCCATTTTGTTAATCCAACATTTACTCATGAATAGTGAAATGAAGGGTAAGGGTAAAAAAAGGTCATTTACTATTTCTTTTAATCTGAGAGTTGGAGGGCATCCTTTTAACCTGCAGTCTTATAATTTGCTAACAAAACAGGAATAAGTGCCTCTTCACATAGCCCCTTGTTAAACTGTGCAAGTTACATCTCCATGATATTGAATATGCCAACAATTTACATGGGTTAATAAATACTGAACAAATTTATGAAAGAAAAATCTGTCAGGGGCTATTCCTTCCTCTCTTGCTCTGGAAGCAGAAAGAATATACTGTGAAGAAATAGCATTATGTACATGTGTTTGTTTTATTGGTCTTTTTATGCTGATCGTTAGCTGCTGTTGGAAATGTATGGCTGACCTTTGGCGTAATTTGCTATGGCACTTTTTAGGCAATATGTGCAAATACCTGCTTGTGGGCAGTGTATCTGATTCTGGTGGTGCTTTTCAGTTTGACTGGAAAAGTGCAGCAAAGCTAAGTAACAGGGCACTGGCACCAGCGCAATCCAGTCCTGCAAGGGGACATTTTTTAAAAGTTGCAGTTTGGAATTATTTAGACAAGGTTGTTGATTCAGCATGGTTTGAAATTTTGAGGATGATACTGAACATTTCTCTAAACCTTCATGTGATTTCTTTATACTCTGGGGAAAAACTGTGGCCTGTGTAGAAGACACAAAACTGCTATAAAAATCCTGAATTATTTGGTATGGTTTTTGTCCCCCTTCTAAACAAGTGACTTGTTTAAATATTTTTCTCTTACAGATAGTCCACCCTTTCTATGCATATTGGCAGAGTTTCTGTACGCGGAAAAACTTTGCTTGGAAGGAGGAATATGACACACGACAAGCCTCAAACCGCTGGGAGAAACGAGCCATGGAAAAAGAGAACAAGAAAACGAGAGATAAAGCAAGGAAAGAGAGGAATGAACTGATCCGTCAGCTAGTAGCCTTTATTCGTAAAAGGGATAAAAGAGTACAGGCTCATAGAAAACTCGTAGAAGAACAAAATGCAGAAAAAACTAGGAAAGCAGAAGAATTTCGGAGGCAGCAGAAGCTCAAACAAGCCAAGTATGTAAATGTGGAACAAATCTTTTCCTTTGAACTTGAAAAAGCTATCCATGAGGATACTGTATAGAGTTAGATTCTAATAGTCGTTCCACTTTCTCTCTTAAATATCCTCGAAAATTTCATGTATTGGTTTTGGTCTCAAGTCTGACCTTTTTAAAACTTGAGTCCCTTGGCATTGTACCGACATGTAGAAATCTAAGATAACCATGGAATAGTTACCAGTGTGCTGCAGGTAACTGACTGTAGTAGTACAGAGTACAGTGGGCTTGTAATTACCTTGAGAAGTAGGATTTAATAGTTATCAATGTTTCTTTAAAGAAAAAAAGAATGTCCGTTAGGGAACGAGGGAGAACAGGACTATGACAACCTGGACTTGGATCAGCTTCATCTGCCTTAGAATGGTACCTGCTAAAAAGAAAGTTGGGGAAAATTAACTTAGTTTTGCTTTTCCTTTAATGCTTTGGAATGGGCCCTTTCATTGGAATAAATGCATTTCTGTGATGCTTTGTTTTTCTCAAAATTAAGCAGAAGGAAGAGACTATCTCCCCAGTGTAAGCACAATTTGTTTTTCCAACTAGAAGAGCTTTTTGCCTGAAAATGCGAGGAAGGAGCTTAAATGCTTAACAAGACTGCACTTGCAAAATAACTGCATATTAATTAAAATTATGTAGTAATAACTAAAATATGCTGAATTTATTTATATATTATTATCTATTATTATATTATTATTATTATTATTTATTATATATAAAGATATAAATATCTTTATATTTATTTTATATATTTTTTCCCCCCTAAAGGTAGAATGAAGCAGATTTATGCATTTAATGACAAATGGCTTGATAATTCTGGGTCCTGGAGGAAAATTCCACTGTAGTGTGGTGCACTGTTCGATAACATGGGCCACACATAGATTTGGAAAACTCTGGCTGGCACGTTCCCATAGTGCAGAGTCAAGGAGTAATATGCTTGTGGCTTTTGTGGTCCTGAATTGTTTGTGGGTTTGGATCTTGCATCAGGTAAAAGCAGCTGTACTGCTTTGAGGATTGATCTGACTTTCCTGCTGTCAGCTGGATATTGACCTTGCTGCAAAGCATTCCCTGCCTGAAATCCAAGCAGGATCCACCTGCATTAATACCTCTTTACTTGCAGCATAGATGTGCCCACTGACATCACAAATTAACTTATTTCCAAGCCCTACCAACAATTGTTAACTCCATCGTGGTATGTTCAGGACTTTCCTCCTAAAATACCAGAGAAGAACAAGTTATCTTTTAAATAATGCTGTTTCTGTAAGTCCCATCTTACGGACACCATGTAGAAGTTACTGTATTATTCTACTTCAAGGCTTGCTGAGCAGTATAAAGAGCAGAGCTGGATAACGATGTCAGATCTGGAGAGAGAGTTGCAAGAGATGGAGGCACAATATGAAAAGGAATTTGGGGATGGATCAGACGATGAAGATGAATTGGAGGAACAGGAAACAAAAGGCATCGAAGGTACGGGGTGTCATGGGGTGACCTATAGTCAGTCGTTTCAGCCTGAGTATTTATTGGCTCACTGCACTTAAAGCCCCAGACTCACAGTTTGGGCTGTGATGCTGTTCCCTGCCTCCAGCTGAAGTGTGTCAGGCTAGAGTCTGGCCCTCTCTGGTGTCCTCCATTGAACGTGGAGAACATCAAGCTACAGCTGTTAATTTATCCTCATGTATGATTTGGTGAGATGGTCTTGGCTTGTCTGCGTGTCAGTAATACTAAAGAAGTTGACTGTCAGTGTTGTGCCTATTTGCTGGGGCTTTAAGAGCAGCTTACTCAAAAATGGCTCATCTGACTTGGTCTCTCTGATCCCTGCTTCAGACAAACTCAACGATGAGACTGAGGAAGCTGAATTTGTTGATGGTCTGTACTGCCCTGCTTGTGACAAACTGTTAAAAACTGAGAAAGCGTAAGTGCTTGTGGTTGGGGATCCAGGGGTGGGGGTGTTAGGTTTTAACTTTTTAAAAAATGTGTTTTAAGACTTTCTGACTTCCCATAATGGTCAGTGTTGTCTTTCTTTCCAGTAGAGACATTGTCAGGGCAAAATTTTCCATACCTAGTAGTGATGGATAACAGGCCTGTTACTGATTTATATGTAAATATAACAATGGTTGCTCAGAGCTACCTGCAGTAACAATCTGCTGGGTCTTCACAGCATGAAAAATCATGAAAAATCAAAGAAGCATCGAGAGATGGTAGCACTCCTACGACAGCAACTGGAACAAGAAGAAGAGAATTTTCCCGTGTCTTTGGATGACGCAAATGGAATACATACCAAAGAGGAGGAAGAAACAGAAGACGTGCCCAAGCAGAAGTACTTTAAATGTGTTTTAATTTTATCGTGACTAATGATTTAATAAGTCTTGGAGGAAGCGTCTGATGATTTATAGTGTTGTTGGAACTCACAGAATTGTGCAATTTAAAATATTTCTTAGCATCAGACTGGAATCAGATAATAGTCTCATATTTTCTCTCCTTCTTAAAGATACGTATTAAGAAAAAGTATTGCTTATTATTTTTCAAACAGGGGAACTTGGACAGGGCCAGTGTTTGTTGGTTTGGTACTTTTTTGATAGCTTTTGTCAGTTGGATGCTGGCTTATGTAGAAAATTAGTGTGCTTAAAATCAGAATTGATGAGTAAGTTGCAGAACTTCATTCTTTGAATGGACAAAGCATGATACCAACTATTTCACTAGTATCTTCAAGTTGAGTCTGAGCAAAAGAAATGTTTTACTAAATGCAATGAGTAGTTTAGGAGAACTGTTTTCATTTTGGGCACGACTAATTTTCTGTTTGTGGCTATTGTCACTGTAATATCATGTTAAGATAAGCAAAAATATAACTTGGTACCTTTTTGTAAACAGCACTTATTTTTGTTTTTTCTTGAAAAGAAAAAATTTTAAAATTCTTACCTTTACAGACTTTCAAAGAAGCAGAGGAAGAAACAGAAAACAATGATGGTATGTAGTCATATAATGATACTCAGGGAATTTTACAAACCGGTTTTGTTGTCGCTTAACTTAACATTTTTTGTCCTGAAAAATAAGAGAGAACTTGAAATTCTACAAAACTTGACTGTTTTCAGATATTTTTAATTCTTCGACTGCAAAATAATTATATTTTATGATGATAATCTCGTTGACCTCACTTTGTTCTGTTTGTATAGATCCTAATTAATGCAGTGCTGGCTCTGAAAAGGCTACAGTCAAATATAAGGAAAACAGGTGGAAACAGGCAGATAGGGAGAATACAAGGAATTGATCAGAAAGACCAGCAGTGGCCTCTGTGCATTAGCAGCTCAGTTAACATGGCAGTTGTTTTCTGCTTGGTTGCTAGAGTTGGTATGACGTATTGTTTCTTAATCTCTAGCTTGGGGGGAAAAAAAAGTAACACATTATTGGCATCCTGGTGACACTGTAGTTGTTGGAATGAATGCATCCATTCCACCTTTCACTTGGATTATAAACAGAAGTAACACCAATCTGTTGTACTTCAGGATCTGAGTCTGTGCATGATATAACCGGTCCGTGCTGACAGCAGCAAGGTGAAATTCAAGAACTGTAAGCTCTTTCAGGAGCACCACAGTGAGCAGACTCTTCTGTCTGCCTTCCTCAGCCTTGATCCTTTTCAAGTGTTACCTCTTCTCTGCTCACTACCTCAATCCTAGCCTTGTCCCAGTGAGCTATCTGTCTGTACCAGGTCCTGCCTCTTCCATCCTTTCCCACAATGGTCTTCTGTCTTCCCCCAACCTAACCCCTCTAGTCTCCTATTTTGTCTTCACATTTTCTGCCCTCTCCTACACCATTATTGTCTCTTGGCCTCAAGAAAAGGATCTTGAGACCTTCAAGCAACTGAATTTTTCTTGCTTCTCTTTGGCTGGTATTGCATAGTCCAAGCCAGTGTTGGCTCGACCTTATTTTTTCCATGCAGGCCATCAGGCTCCTGTTCAATTCTTGCCCCCTCAGTTTGAAATCTTGTTCTCACTGTATAGGTTGCATATAGGCACTGTGTCTCTCTTCCATCAGTTTGGTCACGAGTTCTTCTGCAGCCTGGACAGTAGGTGCCACTCTTGCATAGCATAAACTGGAATCTTGTGCAGAGATTTTTCTGGAAACGTCACCTCCATCCTCTACCAAACTTCAGAGTGCAGAGAACCTGTGTGGGTTTTGTTTTGTTTTCCTGACAGTATATAGATTAGCCAAGTTTTTTCAGGTAGCTGAGACTCTGCAAAAGATACTAGAGGTGACAGAGTTGCATTAATGTAGTGTTAGGTCAAATTCATTATCCCGCTTCTGGGGGCTGAGCTGGTTTGCTTCAGATGTGCTCAGGGGTTGATCTTTTGCCAAACTGCATGTATTGAATCTGCTCTGTGTTCTGGTACGTGGAAAAGGCTGCCAGCGTTTCCAATGTTAGGGAGGGAAAATACAGTGTCTCTACCTGGCTTCAGTCAGCTCAGTTATTTTGGCTTAATTGTCCTAACACAGGTGTCTGGCACAGAAAACTTTGGTCTAAATAATTAACGTTTTGCAAAGCCACTATCTTATAATGTGAAATGGTAGCCAGAACAGAATGAGCCTTGGGTTTAATTAAAAGGTACCTTCATTCTTCTCTTCTGTAGTTCTAGGCGCTGTTTTTATTAGTGGTTCTTCCTTTCATTGCAGGTGGCCTTATCTTTCAAAACAGAAGTGAGGTTTTACCTGTTAACAGGCTTTGTGTTCTTCCCACTCTCCCATGTTTGGGCTAAATGAGGTATAATACTATAAACATAGTCACTAATGAACTTAAGGTAGTTAACTTGCATTTCTTCTGTTCGGACAGACTTACGAGGACTCCTTTGATAAAAGTGACGATGAAGAAACAGTTGAGCAAAAGGAGGTGCCCTGCACGGACACAGGGGGTGGCTCAGCAGAGGAGGTGGTCAACGACGGCCAAAGATGCGCTGTGTCAGAGGATGCAGGTGCTACAGAAGATGTCACCCAAGCGACCGAAGCAAAAACAGAAGCAAAAAGGTGCGCTGACCTGGAATATCACAGTCGCCGTGTCGTTCTGTGTCACATTTGATACTGTAAAACAAGTCTGGTTTTACTCACCAGTGTGAGCTGGGGGCTGCTCCACTAAGTCAGAGCTGAATAAATGTGATACTAAACAAGGAATGTTGGGATCTACTTTGGAAATGGTGTTTGACTGCAGATCCCCACCACATCACTTACAGTTGCAGATTTATCATCTAGCTGAATCTTCAGATCAGCAGCTGATTGTGTAAATTAAATTGATTTATTTCTTTGGTGGAAGCACTTGCATTGTGTTGTGTGAGGGAAGAGCAGGGGGAAGCAGCAGAGATATTGATGAGTGGAAACCTTCAAAAGCTCTTAAACGTTGGGCGTTCCTGTGCACTGATCTTAGTCTCTCTGTTTATCAGCAGTACTAAGCCTAAAGGGAAGAAAGCCAAGGATGCAAAGAAGCCTGCCAAGGCAACTTCAGAGCAACCAACAACGGTATGTCAAATTACTTATGCTATTTAAAACTTGGTGGTCACAGCTTTTATTACAAACAAGGTTGGTTGTTTTATCGCCTCGTCCAGCATTTCCGTTTCAGTGGTTTTGCTTATTTTTTAATGATAGAGATATTTCTATCCCTGTGATGTTATTAGAAGCTAGGAGACTGGAACATCAGCTCTTGTCCTCACAGAGAAGAGCAGGACTAAATTTCAGTCCTAATAGAGTTGCTAAAGCTGTGTACCCAAGGCAGTTGGGATTAAACAACTGCAGACAGAGCTGCTGTCATCAGGCAGGTGACAGGCAGTACCCTTTGCCTCTTTCCCAATACTGATGCTTCCCAGAAAGAGCTGAATCTTCTAATAACTACAGCTGAGCCACATGAAATTCAGTAAATATCGGAGCCCAAAGTATTGGTTGATAGTCAGGTGAGATCAAAAGTATTCTTCATTTTGAATTAGATTTGCAAGGCCCCTATTCTTGTTTTTGGTTCTACTTAGTACTCTTTGAAATGTCAAGAAGTTATGATTTTTTTTTATATAAAAATATATATATATTTAATTGTTAATCAGTAATAGAATTTGTGTGATTAGAAACAAACAGCTTTTTCACATTTCATTGTCTAAGAGAAACTGCATACAGCAAATCGGCGTATTTCATTTATTACATATGTGAGTAATTTTGCTTTTTTTTTCCTCCTTATAGAATGAAGTTCCTATCCACTGTGTAACCTGCAACTGTGCGTTTCCATCCCGAAATAAACTGTTTGAGCACCTAAAAGCCACAGGACATGCAAAAGCAACACAAGCGCCAGCTGTAAATGGAGCTGTAAACACCAGAAACAAAAAAGAGAAACGTAAAAACAGATAGAACTTTGTTACAGTGATAGTCTTCAGAATCCAACATGAAAACTCTCCCAAAACTGAAAGGTGCACACTTCCTGTGTTTGGAGTTAAACAGAGAAGACAAGTCCTAATTTTGAAAAGAAAAAAAAAAAGAAGGTACAACAAATGGAGTATTATCCTGTGAAGGAATCTGTGCTTTCTTTTGGTTTTATGAGCCTTTAATGACTGTTTTAGACCTACTGTCTCAGCAGCTTTCACAGTGATGATGGGGATATAGTAATACAAAGCTACTTAACTTGTAGTCCTGTAGAAACTTGCACGGAGGAAATAATAAATTACTTTAACACTTGTGTTGTTCCTTTTCTTTTGAGAGGGCTTAGCTCAGGGTGAGTGTAGCCAATAGAGGGGCCTGTGCTGTTCTGATCATCTATCAAAGACCAAACGTCACCAAGGGCATGGAAAAACTCTGGCTTTTCTTCTGCTGCCCCTAAATGACCTTTCAAATTACTTAATTACATTAAACAGAAGGAAACGAATAAGGTGACAAAACTGCTTAAATATTTTTGACAATTCCTCTTGGTTTTGTACATACACCTACATCCAGGTGTTGGGGGAAAAAAAGCTTGTGGAAAAACCTTGCCAGGAGTAAGCGAAGGGAAAAATAAATAACGACATAAATAAATGCATTTCTTCTGATTTCTGATGAAAAACACCATGGGAGTTGGTATTGCACCTCTGTTCAAATGCATAATCTACCTGATCCCCAGTAGCACTTTAAAATGAAGCAAAGGGTGGGATAACAAGCACCTGATTTTGCAGTGGAAGTGAATTTTACACAGGAATCATCAGTGCTGTTGGAGAAGGCTGTGTACTATGTACATGGCTGTGTAGGAAACTCCTAGAGTATAATTTTTCCAAAAGAACTCACTGATTTTATGTTAACCAAGTTCCACTGACAGCTCGTTAGACAAAATAGCAGAATATTCTCCTTCCCCCAGAAGTTAACATGGTACCTTTATTGGGTCAAGGAATTACTCAAACGTTAAAATTTGAATGAAAGTAAAACGATAAATGTACAGTTCTTGCTGACCATACACACCACCATTTTTTTGGTTGGAAACTGAAGGAGGTAATTAACTACAACATTAAAAAAAGTGATTATGTAAGAAAGAACCATGGCCTCTTACTTCATGAGCCAGAGTTTGCATCTGTGCTAAATGACTAATGGGTGTGCTGTGCAATCCCAAAAGCAGCAGGAGGAAAGGAAAAATGTATTTTGGAGACGGCGACGATGACTGGATTACAGCCCCATGATAAAAATAATTACTGTAATTAGAAACTTTTCAACTTGTGTGTGCTAACAGAATTTTTTTTTTCATGCTCTAATTACAGTGTATTCTTGTAGTAAGGGTAAACAGTTCTAACTCAGTCTGAAACCTGCAGTTATGTTCTGCTCGGGGTGGTTCTCAGCCAGAGACTGACAACACTTATATAAGTGAAATCTCACAGACTTGACCCTGCAGCATTAGTTTTGACTTAAAATATTTGGTTTTATTTAAAGAAGAAAAAAAAACCTTATTGTTTATGTGTTTTACAAATGCTTTTATGTATTGGATGTAGAAGGCAAGGTTTTGGTAGCAGTGATGGGGGCAGGGGCAGTGGTGACCCCTGTGGATGGCAGCTGGTGACCATCCAGAGGTGATCCCAGCCAGCTCTGCACCTGGGCCAGCGCTGGGCCAGCTGGGGGCTTCTGTGAAAACACATTTAAAAGCCCACAGTTGTCTCCACGGTAGGAAGGACCCCAGCCAGAGCAGCTGGAGGCACCCCAGGGCAGCGCTGGTACCACCCCACAGGGGGCTGTGGCTGCTACAAAGTCCAAACGCTATGTACTTCCCCCAAAACAACTTTTTAAATTTGGTGTTACTCTTTCTAAAAATTACTAGTTTTGCAACGATTTTCAGAGATGCAAGATTAATGCGTGTCTGCCTCTTCATCTGATACCCAGTTAATCCCATCAGGGTTTTTTTTTGAAATGGTGTGCAGGTAATCCCTGACACTGCAGCAGAACTGAACTGTATGTGCACACAATGGATTAGAGCACATTCTTTATTAAACGCTGGATCTGCCTGGCTGCTCTTATGATTACTGAACATGTATTTCATCTTCAGGCTATGATTTTCTCCTTCGGTGTGCAATAGCGCAGAGTCTGGGTGCCAAGTGTCAGGGGTTCTGTGTGCATCTCGTGCAAGGAACAAATCAAGTCTGTTTTGCAGTTGTTCTTTTCGCGTGTCTCTGTAAAGCAGCATGAAATACTTCCACAGCAAAGTCAACATCCTTTTTAGTGATGCACATAGGAGGTTTAATTCTGAATGTCTGAGAGAGAAGAAAAAAAATGGAATTCTTAAAATTGTATGGAAAGCCTACAGTTTCTAGCACGCCGTCTAAGTCAGCACTCCCCTTCTGCCCCCCCAAAATCTAATAAAAATGTGGAAAATAACAGTATAGGAGAACAGCAGAGCAGGGACTGAGGCTTCTGAGAAACACACACGGAAGTGGGGGAGTTTTGGGTTTGACAGCATCCACCCCCTGCTCCACTCTTGTGACAATCCAACTGCCTCCAAAGGAGACCTGACTACAGGGGGTTGGGTTTGCAGTTCTGCTATTCCAGACAGAGCTGGTATAAAACCTTAGATGGGTTTGTACCAAGGTGTATCTTCCTTTCTGGCTGCTTTGCCACAGGGACAAGTAATCTCTATTTAGAGTGGTAACCTCTTGCGTTGCATCAGCTGACTTGCTGTTATATTATAGGCTTTTTTAAGGCTTCTAAAAGAATATGGGCAACGAAGATGATCAGAGGGATGGAGCAGCTCTCCTGTGAAGACAGGCTGAGAGAGATGGGGTTGTTCAGCCTGGAGAAGAGAAGGCTCCAGGGAGATCTCATAGCAGCCTTCCAGTACCTGAAGGGGGGCTGCAGGAGAGGTGGGGAGGGACTCTTTTTCAGGGAGTGTAATGATAGGATGAGGCATAATGGTTTTAAAATGAAAGAGGGGAGATGGAGGATGAGATATTAGGAAGAAAATCTTTACTGTGAGGGTGATGAGACACTGGAACAGGTTGCCCAGAGAAGCTGTGGATGCCCCATCCCTTGAGGAGTTCAAGGCCAGGCTGGATGGGGCTTTGAGCAACCTGCTCTAGTGGGAGGTGTCCCTGCCCATGGCAGGGGGGTTGGAACTTGATGATCTTTAAGGTCACAGAATCACAGAATCTTCTAGGTTGGAAGGGACCTTAAAGATCATCTTGTCCAACCGTCAACCTAACTGACAAAAATAGACACCCAGGTCCCTTCCAACCATTCTATGATTCTGTAACATATTATGAAATAATCACTAAATGCTAACTTTCAGGTAGGGTACTATAGCCTGACTGCATTTTCATCAGGAAGGGTGATATGCAGTTTAACTTATCAAGAACTTAGGGTCTTAAATCCAACTGTTTGATCTATACTATAATGCTTCCAAGGGTATTTAGCTTCCATAATAATCATAAACTTTCAGTTTAAAAATTTTTATGTCATCATATCACAGGCCTTTATTGCAGCAAGAGTCGAATAACGGTCTTTTGCTACAGCTCCAACCGAAGCAAACACTCCCAGATAATCAGCAGCCTCCTGGGACAGAATCAGACTTTACTGCACTCTGAGCTGCAGCCTGTTACTCACATTCTGGTCTGTGACTTGTGGAAGAACCGATGCAGCGTCCTATTTATTTTAACCATCCTTCATCTCCCGCATTCCTGACCCAGAGGCAGCTGCTTTCTCTGTGTCAGGAGGCTTTGCTGACCCGACCAGCCCGCAGGCAGTTCCCTGCTGTTAACTTGCACGCTGTAAGAAGCTGGTGACTCAGTGCCCCGGGTACAGCACAGGGCATCTTTCACTGAATTTTTAGAGTTGGAAGGGACCATAGAGATCATCTAGTCCAACTCCCCTGCTGAAGCAGGATTGCCTAGAGCTAGAGCATGTTACTCAGGACTGCATCCAGGCGGGTCTTGAAAATCTCCAAGGAAGGGGACTCCACAACCTCCCTGGGCAGCCTGTTCCAGGGTTCTACTGAATTTCACTGAATTTTAGAGTTGGAAGGGACCATAGAGATCATCTTCAATTGCTGTGGGCTGACGGCCCATTCACATGCAATTCTCACTTTTGTGCTGCATTGCTGAACTAGCTCTTCATGATTTTTTCTTTTTCTTTTTTTTTTTTCTTAATTACCATCCAGGTGGAACGTTACCAGCTCTCCAAAAGGAAAGAACTAGCAAGAGTAAACTCGTTCATGCTGACAGGTCAGGTGATAGCCTGAACAGTAGCAAAGACTTATCAGACCTGAATATTGCTGATTTCTTCTAATATATACACATTATAGTACATTTCTTTTCTAGGGGAGGTTGTCCCTCTAAAAGAAAACTGCAAACTTAGGGATAGTTCAGCATACTTGCAAAGAAACAAACAGCTCCCACCCAATCTGTAAATTAAGCAAAACTACAAAGGTAGTTCCCAAGAGTATACGTTTCCTAGTTTATTCACTAACCTGAAGCTAATTTAGCTTGGGGGAAACGGGATGTGGTTCACGTAGAGAAAATAAGCTTAATGTACAACCAGAGGTTCAGTACCTGACTGTAGAGTCCTCCTCGGCCAATCAGAACCCCCATGTCTTTACAGTCCTCCCAGATTTGATTGATTTGTTCAGCTGGAAGAGGCTGGCGACTCTCCTAAGGAAAGTGAACATTAAACTTCATATAGATATTCTAAATTAGTTCTATGAAAGAAAGATGTATATTCCTGTCTCTCTAATAAATCCTACCCCCATCTCTGGCTGAAAACATCAGCTGCATAGTTTATGTGCTTTCTAAGATCCCTTTATGCAATTAAGGTACACAAGTCACTGTTTACTCAAAGCTTGTGAAATATTTGAAATGCTGAAATGCTCTGGCTCATTTTAAGCCAGCGCAATTTTTTTTCTTACTTCACTATCTGTTTTTTAATAAAAAAATCTTTCTGTCATTTCAACAGAAATAAAATGTGACAAAACTCTCAATGGCACTGTAACTGAAAGGAATAAAGTAAATCACTAACCTTATCTGTCACCATTTCTACTCCAATCATAAGTCCCTTGCCGCGCACATCTCCAACAATCTCAAATTTATCCCGTAGCTTAGCCAACTCCAGTAGCATATATGTTCCCACATCCTCACTGTTTTTCTGTAGACCATCTTCTTCAATAGCCTGGTTGAAACAAGGCACAATGCAGCACTGCAGGAAAAGCTTCCAATACCGTCTATTCATCCCCATTTAGCTTGATGACACATTATGTTTATCTCACTTCCTTGTCGACTGTGTTCCTTCAGTACTATGATCATTACTTTTTTTTTTTTCTTACAATCCTCTAGTGGCATCAGAGTACAATTGAACATAATATTTTGATGTTGCTGTGGCATTTTTCACATTTTACTTATTATTTCATAACCATAATCCAGTAATTGACATGTGGTCATAACTGAAAAATACCTGACCAGCAGAATTATTTTCATAATCTTACCAGAAATATTATAATTCTTTCTCCAATATCATGAGAAGAATATAATTTGACAAGGCATACCTATTTATATTAGGCAGCCTTTAAGGAAAAAACTTGAATGTTTTAATTAGATTCATCAACACCATGCTTGTTAATCACAGTCTTTTTTTTTTTTCTTTTTTGGTTCCTTACTCTGCTTTCCTTAATCAAAGTTCTGACATGCAGGCACCTATCAGAACTGACACATACAAACCATTTTATGAACTTAACATTTGCATTAAGAACATTCAAAAGAAAAAACTCCACTACGGGAGTCAAAGTGGGTGCTTTTTATTTTAATCCACCCCCCCCCCCTTTTCTTTAAACTCCATTTTATTTTTCTTGGCCCTGACAATCTCCTTGAACTTATTTCAGATCCAGGATCCAAGATACCTCAGAGCCAAAAAGACCCCAGAACATGGGTTCAGGTTTATCATATTTGTAAATTGTTTTTTCAAAGTATTTTTATGATGAGCCATCTTATAAAACAGCTTAAAAAACCCCAAAACACTCAGGAAAGTAACATGAGTAGAAAGAGTGTCTGCTGTAATGAAGTGAGACTAAAGGAAAATGGTCTGTCCATGTCCAAGACAAGTTAAAGAGTGACTTTCTGCCCCATTGACTGATTTTCTGCTGGATAATAGATGAAATTTTTCTATGGCCATTTTCATGAGGGTTTTGTTTTGTTTCTTTATTTTTCCAAAGGAATTCTGACCTTAAATATTTTTAAGTATCTCGTCATTAAGAGTTCTTAGGCATAAGGTAAAAGCTGTGGAGTTAAAATGATTTTGTTAGGCATGCATGCCAGAGAATAAATCTGGTTTAGCTGAGGATTTGCGTAGTTGAAAGAGTTAGCTAAGGCTTTTGTGAAAGTGCTTTCCTACATTTCTCTTAACAAAGTAAAGGAGGTAAGTGAGACAAAGAAAGAGGATTCTGAAAACATAATTAGAGGACTCCTATTCATTCAAGAGGGATGACAATTTTGCTATGGAACTAGGAAAAAAATAAATTTCTGCTTATACATAAGGCACATCGGCCATGTATGCATAATACATGCACATATTCATGTATTTTATACAGTTACTTTTAAAATTGCCCACATATAACTTTATAGTAAGAATTAATGTACACATGTTTCATCTTTTGCTATGAGAGAGTGTGGAACACATAAATTTATAGAACATTCTTCTTACATCAAGAACTGCAGCTCCAACTACACAGGCCAAAGGATTTCCTCCAAATGTATTAAAATGAAGGTTTTGAGCCAAGGCACTTGCAATCTCTAAAAGAAAAAGAAAACACTGACTACTCTTACAATTGCCTTATGTTTGCTAACAGTACTTATCTGCTTAAACTTAACAGTGAAAACAAATTTGTTGTGCTTCAACCCTGATTCTACTGGAGACAATGGAAGTATTCTGTGCAAAATATGACTATTTCCCAAAATTATAGTGTCTGGCAGATACTAAATCCAGACTTTGTCAAAAAAAGTCACACTTCTAACATATGCTGTCAGTTATCCCTTTAAACAGACAACTACAAATTTTCTTCACTAGATTTAGCCAGTCATTTGTATGTATCAAGTAGTTGGCTAACATGCTGCCTTATACACTCATAGCACATTGATTCGTAAAACGGTGAATTTAGTGAAGATTTTCAGCATCTATTGCTAGCGCTACCAATGACTCACACAGTCATTCTTTCTTCAGTTGCACAACTAACCCCATTTAAATAAAGCTTTGCACTGGTATAGCACAGCACTTGGTAAAACAAGTGAGTAATGAGAATGCAATTTATTTGTCAAAAGAGATTGAGATGAAAATCATTAATATAGCTCAGCTGTTTCAATACACTTCTCTCCAGTAAGTAATTATTCTACAGTATATTTTGTAATTGCTCTATTTTAATCTTTAGCAGAACAGAACACTTGTACCTTTTGTTGTAACAACAGCTCCCATTGGAAAGCCATTACCAATTCCTTTTGCCAAAGTAACAATGTCAGGGACTACATCATGTGTTTGAAATCCCCAGAAATGGCTGCCTGTCCGTCCAAATCCTGTCTGTACCTTTCAAAAGAAAAATCCAGAGAAATCCCCATCACTTTCTCACATTTTACAATATGTTTTCTTTTTCTTGTCTTTCTAAGCTCCTACGCTTGGGAAGATGCACTGTGTTAAACTTAAGCTATGAGATGTATAGCATTTAATTTAGATTATTTCCAGGCTTCTGGTTTGCATTCACTTGGATTCTTTTAAGACAACTTTCAGAGGTACCCCAAACCCTAGATCTCTTATGTCAAAAAAACTCACTTCATCTGAAATACAAACGCCCCCTCTTTCCCGTACTAGCTGATAAGCCTCCTTTAAGAAACTTCTTGGGTACTGAACAGCTCCATTAACACCCTGCCAAGACAAAAAAAAAAAGACAATGTCTTCAGAAACAGAAAATGAAACAGAAGTTCCACTATGTGACTATCCTACAGTGAAAAAATACTAGCAGCCCACAGGTAAGCAAGACTGTTGTCTCGGCTTCAGCAGTGACACTGCTTCAGGAAGTTCCTGCTCAGGTCCCTCATTCCCATTCCAGAGAGCAGCTTGCACCAAGACAATGAATCCTGTGGCCACCACTTGCTGGACATGCTAAAAACATAGTGGACAATGTGGCTGGGAAGAGGTGGAAGGGGAATTGAGTTAAAGTTTACAGAAATAGTAAAAAAGCAATATGAAATTTGAAGGTGGTATTAGAAACTAAACAATAGTATGCTCCATACTTGCCACTTAAATGCAGAAGTGTGTACATTTAACCATGATCCTCTGTTTAATTTAACCTCACAAGCAAAATTCTAGCTCCATTGAAATCAATGCCAAAAGCTGACATTTTAAGACAATACATCCATTTTTTTCAAATACTTAAGGTGTTCAAGGCATTGAAAATAATATAAATCAGCAGAAGTGTATATTCAGGATGTAGCTAAAGATTACCAGATTTGAATGTTTCACGCTGTTTTTGCTATCACAATTGAGAAATGGCAAACTACCTACTTGAATTGGTTCAGCGATAAATCCGGCAATTGTCTTTGGCACCGAGGTATTCAGAGTATCTTTGAACTGCTCAATGTACTGGCTGTTTGCCTGACATACACCTGTTTACAGGGGAAACAGTTTAAAGGGAATTTACTTAGGATGACACAAAACTAGCTTCAAAATATGAAATTACATATCTAAGAAACAAGCAGTATCTGACTGCATAGTAAACATCACCTCTCAAATACACAGTAGAAGGCTAAACATTAAAGGAGAGAGTCCCTTATTTTCCCTTAAACCATTGACACTCTAAGGAATGCCACTACCAGAAGAGCAAAACAAACGTGCCAGACAATAAGGTGTTACACGTCATATGAGTCAGTAAGTCGTAGGTTAGAGAAAATGTTTGTGAATCACCTACATCAGCAGAAGGAATAAGCAGACACTTTCTCAGGGGTTAATAAACATCACTTAGGACCTGAGGAATCATTAGGTTAGTAGAGGTATGATGATTCTGGAGAATACAGCTGCATATGTCTATATCGAAATAAAGAACAGATCAATTAGTATAGCCAAAGCTCTCATTCCCTGGGGAGGGCAAAGCTAAAAAGAAAACATTCTGTTGTGTATGCATGTGAATTCAAATAATACAGAGCGCCTGTTGAAACCATGGCAAAAAATTACTGCAATTGCTCTTAAGAAGAGAGCAGCAGAGGAGCTTTCATGCTGTTCTGCGTCTGCAATGTTTTGCTTCATGTAAGACTTTTTGCCTATCACTGGCTCAAGGTTGTCCTTACTATTCATATTATTCCAAAAGAAAAGCTGGAGAGCTGTCAAAACTTCAGAAGCAGCAGAAAACACCAACATTTCTGTTCTTTCAGATGTGCTAAACTGAATTCCACAGCTTCCAGAGCTAATAATGACAAATGCTGGAAACAAATGCTGGGACTTTAAGAAGAAATCTGAGAATATGAGGTGACACCTGCCCCATATTTTTCTCAGTGAAAAGCACATGCCTGAGGTTCTCTGCAATATTTTCTTTGGTCGCCCTTGCAAATACTAAGCAGAGGTCTGCCTTCCTTGAGGAAGTAAATGTAGCCTATTTCCACAGCCATCTAGTATTCTCTAATCTAAAAGCCAAACAGTTTTTGTCATTGACCAACCTGCTGAACAGCTGCATTTTCGAACAGTTTGCACTGGAGAATCTCTACAATGGCTGCCTCCCCATGGGCCACGAAAAACATCCGGTAACATCGTCTGTCAAGCATAAGATAAATAGCTACAAGATTTGATGACACCCTTTCTAAGCGATGCTTTGATCATACTTGGGGATAACTAACGAAAAAAGTTGAAAAACAGTCTGTTAGAGTCAAAGGGCATACGTAGTTCAAGTTACTTGTCTGAAGAACACTTGTGGAATAATACTAAACATCACCCCGAAGGAATACAGTCGAACAGAAACAGAAGGTTTGGAAACAACAAGTTTTGACTGCACCACCAATAGTCACTCAATTGTTGATTTCCTTTGTTTTGATCTTTAAGTTAGTAAGCAGTTTTGGCTATCTAAGAGTAATAGCAACATTTTTAGAGTTGCCAGTGGCACTTCAGTAATCCAAGGTGTGACAAAAATCTGCAGGCAGACCTAGTGGAGTAAGTACAGACTGGAAATTAGGAACTCCAGCCTTCTACTCCTGACTGCTGATGAAACACTGCATGGCTTCAGGCAACTCATTGAGCCAGGTTGGGAGACTCCTATAAAGGAGCCTTCCTACAGCCAGTGCTGTGGCTGACCTATTACCAGTACAGATCAGAGTAGCCAACGACAGATTCCAGCAGCCAGAAAGACATTTTCATTTGGTCAAGGGCAGAGAGATAACATATTGCCATTCATCCTCAACGTATCTTCTTAACAGTATGTCTTCTGTCTTGCTGAAATGAGTGACATAGGGTTTTTTTTTCTTCCAGGGGATAATCTACTTCAGACCAGCTGAAAGCAGCTATGCAGACTTGCCAAAACAAACATGAGAAAAGGGGTTCTAAGCATCGTTATTTTACACCTTATGTAGAATTCCATGCAAGCGCTAAGTGTGAATGAAGCACTGTAAATCATGATCACTCCTGTTAACGTCTGTCCCAACTCCAAATTAGCACAAATAACTACAGAGAGAAGGAACGGGGACCTCGTCACTTGTGCTTACACAGCAGAAACAGCTACGCTGGAGTTCAGTTAGTAACCATAAAGCACTCTGAGGACAGAAAATATATTAATTGTTGAAATATTAAAATAAACTGTCATTATTAAAATATGTCATTATTAAAAAAAATCATAAAAAAAAAATCTCACTGTTAAACAGCCAAAGCCATTGGCAACACCATGCTTATAAAGACCAATAGATGTCAGTCCCAGGGTGCAAGCGCTGCCTCCGTGGTATGCTCCTCTGTGCAAACAAAAAAGGACAAGAACATCACTCATTTTCAAAATAAGACTGTAGCAATATTAGTTCTGAGAAGGCATGCTTCTGAGCTATAAATTATTGGGAAAAATGTACATTGTTACACTCAAAACAAGACGATTCCTACCACCATTCTTTGCCCTGGTTTTGGAAGATTCATGACTGCCCATCGCATTGGTTTCCTGAAATCTCAAATGTTAAAACCGTGAAGTAATGTTTTCAAGGAGAAGAGAACAATGATTGGAACCAACAGCAATTCAGACAGTGCCTCACGAAGTTCTGGTGTAGCACCTGAGCCCTATAGAGCAAACATCTCTGTTCTTTGAATCTTGGGAACTGCTGCTCTCTCCAACAGATGCTGCCAATCATTAAACTACATAGTGGTTTGCTGCAAGTTTTATACACAAATCAAAAGTTCATTAATGAAAATATACAAGGTGGGTACCCAATGTTCTGATGAACAGAATAACAGAAAAATACAGCTCTTCATAACAAGGCCTTTTATTCTAATATTTAAGGCTGCCTGGGATGCATAGTAAAAAGAACTGCTTAACCTGGTGCTTATACAGCACTCACCCTTGCACCACCTCTGTCATTAAGCCAGAAGAGTTGTTTGTGTACCTGTGCAGTGAACTATGGTTCAGGGATCTGGCAGAAAAATAAGGCAGCAAAACAAATAAAGAAAAAATTGTTCAGCCAGTTTTCAGCCAGAGCAGCTCCCTGCTGTGGGTCACTGCACCGCTACATCAGAGGTACCTTTGGACCCTCACAAAGAGGGGCACTGCAGGACTGGAACGATGGAAGGAAGTAGTGATTTACACAATCACACAAAATTGTAGGCATTGGGAGGAACCTTCGGAGATGGTCTACTCCAACTCCCCTGCCAAAGCAGGTTCACCTAGAGCAGGCTAGACAGGAACGCATTCAGGTGGGTTTGAATATCTCCAGAGCAGGAGTCCACAACTTCCCTGGGCAGCCTGTTCCAGTGCTCTGGCATCCTCAAAGTAAAAAAGTTTTTCTTCATGTTCAGACAGAACATCCTGTGTTCCAGCTTGTGTCTGTTGTGCCTTCTCCTGTCACCAGGCACTACTGAGAAGAGCCTGACCCCATCCACTTGACACCCACCCTTTACATGTTTATTAGCATTGATGAGATCCCCTCTCACTCTTTTCCAGGCTAAGTAGACCAGGCTAACAGACTCTCAGGCTTTCCTCAGAAGAGAGATACTCCATTCCCTTGATCATCTTCGTAGCCCTCCGCTGGACTCTCTCCAGTGGTTCCCTGTCCTTCTTAAACTGGGGGGCACAGAACTGGACACAGCACTCCAGATGGGGCCTCACCAGGGCAGAGTAGAGGGGGAGGACCACCTCCCTTGATGGGCTGGCCATGCTCTGTTTAATGCACCCCAGGAGACCATAGGCCTTCTTGGCCACATGGGCACTTTGCTGGCTCATGGTCAACTTGCTGTCCACAAGAACTCCAAGGTGTCTCTCTATAGAACTGCTTTCCCAGCAAGTCAGGTCCTAAACTGTACTGGTGTATGGGGTTATTCCTCCCCACATGCAGGACCCTACACTTGCCCTTGTTGAATTTCATCAGGTTCCTCCCCGTCCAACTTTCTAGCCTGTCCAGGTCTCATTGAGAGCAGCAGCACAGCCTTCTGGTGTGTCAGCCACCCCTCCCAGTTTTGTGTCATCAGCAAACTTGCTGAGGGTCCACTGTGTCCCCTTATCCAGGTCATTGATGAATATGCTAAGACCGGACACAGTACTGACCGTTAGGGAACACCACTAGCTACAACCTTCAACTGGACTCTGCACTGCTGATCACAACTCTCTGAGCTCTGCCGTTCAGCCAGTTCTCAAACCATCTCACTGTCCACATCTAACCCACACTTCCTAAACTTACCTGAGAGGATGTTATGGGAGACAGTGTCCAAAGCCTTGCTGAAGTCAAGGTAGACAACATCCACTGCTCTACCCTCATCTATCCATCCAGTCATGCCATCGTGGAAGGCTATCAAATTGGTCAAGCATGATTTCCCCTTGGTAAATCCATGCTGGCCACTCCCGATGACCTTTTTTTTCTTCTACATGCTTAGAAATGACATCCAGGATGAGCTGTTACATAACATTTCCAGTTGCTGAAGCCTGCTCTGGCCCTGAATGAGGATCCACCAAGGCTCACCCTGAACACAGAGACTAGACTCTTTTCTAAGTAACAAAAGCAAAAATTACAGGTTGTGTTTTGTATGCAAACTAGTCCTAATATACTGTATCAAATCTTCAACTCCTGTTTTACTCCTCTTTGTCAAATAAAATAAATTTGTAGCATTCTCCTCAGCACATGTGGGGCTGAGGAGTTCTCTATTATTTCATGGTTTAGGCATACGGAGACTGTTCACACACACAAAGTGAGTTTTGTGAAGATCTATCATTATTACCTTAAACAGATGATGTCGAAGTTACGAGTATGTAGCCTTGCCATGAGAATAGCCAAATCATTGGCTTCTGACCCACTGTTGGTTAGATAAACCACCTATGGGAGGATGCTTAGGATCAGCACAGTGCACAATAACCACCTTCTTGTTCAGCAACATTAGGAGCTATAACCTATCACTACCACAAGGTGATTTACACTGCAACAAACTTAATGTTGCCCATACATTACAGATGAGAAACAAAAATCAAGCTGATCTACTCTGAGGGAACACAGAAAATTTTTAAGTCAGGCTTTCCTAAGATGGAACAGTGATTTAAAGAAAAAGGCATATGTCTGGGTCAAACTGAGCATGACCGACTGAATAGAAATAATTTTCACATAGGTAAAAAGGGCTGTATGGCATCACCATGTGTTAGTTACTAGGAGTGACATCCACAGACACAACTGTGGAACAGAAGAGGCAAGCAGAGCTTGCTTATTGGAAACAAATGAGAATTACAGGGATATTCTCAATAAAAGTTCTGAGATTTGAAAACAGCTCAAATTCTAGTGTAACTACTTTCAAAGTGAATTTTCAGAAGTAATTGAGATTTTCCACTGCTTAAACTATGCAGATGCTCTACATTTTTAGGTTCTTTGTTTTTAAACTTTCATTTCATTTTTTAAGATTGCAGTAGCCTCACACTCTTCTGCTAATCCAATGTCATTTTACGACCAGTTTATTTTACCTGAAAACAAACATGACATTTTTCTTACTGTTTCCTGGCATATGAAATGGCACATTTATATGTTTTATTTATTTAAATATCACTAAACTTTGCTACAAAGTACTTTCAATTAGTTTCCATTGTAATTTTCAGGAGAATAAGCAAATTAAGGTTGGCTACATAAAGAATAATTAACATAATCTTAGTTCCTTCAGTAATTTTTAAGATGGCAACCCCCTTCACAATGTCAATCCCCTTCACAAGTGGAGGGAGAGAACAAACTGAACAGGAGCTTGGGATATGACGCTTCTCTACGTATGGGTCTAAAGGCCTTGAGGGTCATCATGACCTCTTTATCTGACAGCCTGAAGCCCCCCATACACGTTTTCACTCCACAGATATCATGGCTCACATTTAATAAATATTTTTATACTAAATATTTCTTATAAACAGATAGCCCTTTCTCCAGCCCCTGCTCCTGTCAGAAGCAAAGTACCTTAAGTGGATCTGGAAGAAGAGAAGTTAGCTTTTCAGCATACTCGTGGATAGACGGGTGCATGTAGATATTGGTGGTATGCCACAGGCGAGTAAGCTGTTTCTGGGTAGCCATAGTTACCTTCCTGCACGTGGCACAAGAAGAGACAAAGGGATTCAATTCAACACAGACGTGCACATGTACACACAAACACCTATCCACTCCTAATTCTGAAAATGCAGACCCCGCGCCATTCGCCAGAGGGATGAATAAATGAACTATTCAAAATGTAGTGGAAATTGACATGAATATAAGACATACATGAACATTTAGTGAATCATATTCTGGTTTTAAGCTCACAGTGCCACAGACTAACAAAGAACAAACCAAACATAGCTGTATCTTCCTGTGTTTTGTAGCATAAATCAAACTAACAAACTTACGGGTGACAGTGACCAACAGAGACAGTGGCAATTCCAGCAAAGAGATCAAGGTATCTTTTTCCTTCATAATCAAACAACCACTGCTTATATCCTTGGTGCAGCAACAACGGCTTCTTGTAATACAGTCGCAGTGAAGGAGAAACATTTTGTTCACGAATCTTCTGCATATGCTCGTATGGATAGGACTGAATGGAATAAAAAAAATCAGTATCCCTTTATGCTTTTTAAAGATCCAAGCTAATGGAGCTGAAGTGGATCACACAGATTACACAGTTTTTCACAGAACTAAGATTTTTAAAAATTTTGGCACATAAAGACTTTTACAAACCTCTGAAACTCAGCTTTCGAAATAAGACTACTGTTCTGCACTTACCTCTTCCTTTAAGTTTTTCAAATCAATGATTTAGCAGTAAGTTACAGAATTGTCACACAGCTACATCTATAGGTTAAATCCTGGTTGCAACATAATTGGTTTTTGCCCAAATTAGCTAATTTTACAATAATATTTAATGCACCATTTATAGCGGATAAGCCTGAACCCAGATGTAGTAATGGAGTCTTACTTAAATTCAGTGTAGTAAGTATGACTTACTTTGTATTGTTCAGGTACAAAATCACAAGGAGGCATTTTTGCTTGAGGGGAGACAGAACTTTTCCATTTCTGCTGCCTAAATGCAACTGCAAAATAATGAAAGAATTATCAAACACTTATCAAAGCGCACATCTGAAAGTTTCTCAATAAGCTTGTTCAGAGAGCCCACAAGCTATGATCAAAGCAAGTTTTAGGTTTGCTTGTTTTTTTGTCTGAGAGATTTTCTTGGGGTAAAACATAATTAAGTAACATCCTTGTAAAGGCAAAATATACGTAGATATATATGTATATGCAAGCCAGGAGCCCAGGGTGACCACAGCACAGGCACTGCTCTCAGCAATCAGGGTGCAGTCCCAACAGATGTTAACAAGGTGGGCAAAGCAGGGTGCACTGAGAGCATCCCACATAAGTGGAGAAGATTAATCAGGTCCAGGGTCCACCAGGGAAGGCACAGGAAAAGACCCCTGGTGAGGGCAGCCCAGAGAGCAGACAAGGTGTGCCCAGAGCCCTGACAACTCTCACTGATATCTTCTACCCTCTTTCCAAAATCCTAAAACCATTACACTCTCCTACCTTTCACTTAACTGGAAGTGTAATCAAGCAGCTATCAGTTCTCTTTCTGTGTCCCTAACAATATCTGCCGAGAACCACACATTTATTTTTACATGTCTAAGGTTTTAAACAGTTTCTAACGCACATCAAAACATAAATTAATTAAGAACAAAGTTTCCTGGAGCAAACTACATACCCTGCGCTCCCCTTACAACCACTTCCAGCAATAATGTGGTAATTAATCACCAACAAGGGTCCAGTCTCAAAGGTATTAATTGAAAACCCTGTCAGAATTGTAAGTTTTGCCTTTGGGATCTCTTTCAAAGGGGTCTGCACCGACACCAACAGCGCTCCTCCCCCCACCGTGCACAAACACGGTTCCTCAGCCAAAATCCCCCCGTGAGGGCGGCCGGGGGGTACACAGCCGAGCCCTCCAGGCCTCCCCCGACCAACCCAGGCCTGCGGGGGCTTCGGGCAGACCCCGGCGGGGCGAGGCGTCCGCCGCGGCACGAGCCACCTCACGGCGCGGCGGGTTGCCCGCTCCCACCGGGACCTGGAGGGCCGCTCCCCCCGCCTCCCTTCGCGGCCCCGCCGCCTTACCGCTGCCCAGCCGGCGGCTGAGGCCGCAGACGAACAGCCCGGAGCCC